ACCAATGAGCAGAGAAGATGATTTTGAAAGAATTAATGCATTTTCCCTATTTTCCCTAACACCAGAACCCTTGACCCAGGGGCTATAAAATTCATAATTTTGGAAGAGGAAACCATGCTCATCATAACTCATAGTCACTATGTACTTATTTATTTAATATCCAGGAACAGAGAAGATTTTCATAGAATCAATACAATTTTATTATATAATCAATAGAGTCCCGCCCTAACACCTGAACCCAAGACCCAGGAGCCATAAAATTCACAATTTCTGAGAAGGCAGCCATGCTCATCATAACTATGTTCTTAGTTAGTTTATTTTAATATCAAGGAGCAGAGAAGAAGATTTTCAAAGAATTAATGCATTTTCACTATATTGTCAATAGAGTCCCGCCCTAACACCAGAACCCCAGACCCTGAGACCATGAAATTCACAATTTCGGAAGAGGCACTCTTGTTCTTCATAACTATGTACTTAGTTACATTATTCAATACCCAGGAGCAGAGAAGAAGATTTTCAAAGAAATAATGCACTTTCATTATATGATCTATATAGTCCCACCCTAACACCAGAACCCCTGCCCCTGGGGCCATGAATTTCACAATTTTGGTAAAGGGGTCAATGCTTATTACATGGTATTACATTATATGGTTGAAACTGGTTAAGCGGTTTCAGAGAAGAAGCTAAAAATATTCAAATGTTAACACAGGACGCACGACGCACGCCGACGGACGAGAACGGAAAGCAATAGGTCACCAGAGTAACTCTGGTGACATAAAAAGAGCCCGGTCGAAAGAATCAGGTAGAAATCGTTGTCAAACTGAGAATGTGCTCCTCCTTTTGAGAGGACAGACACAACCCCGCATTGAAATATGGGGGATATTTGATCATTATAATTGGATACTTGTACATAACAAACTGTGTGCGTATATTTATAATTCATATCTTTAAAATTAAGATATTTTACATTTGGATCTTAAATCTTATGATGAATCAAAGAATTTGATTCTGGTAATTAGAGAAATTCCCACAGGCACTTGTTTCGTATATCGAGGACTATCAATTCAGCCCCCCCCCCCCACCTCCCACTTTAAGCTCGTATTTTATTAAATTATCAATCATTAACCTTCTTTAACATGAAATGGTTCGCTTTGAGATACTTTTTTTCTTTTATGATATATTTTTTCTAGACGTCCGTCTTTGAGCTTCTTTATTGTAAATCACTCATTTCTTCCTCGAATATTACCATGACATTTTAAGGACTTTACAGAAGATACAACAACTTCCGTTTAGGGCTTTAATGTACGATAAAATTAGAGAAATCAAAGCTTGTCATTCTGAGAAAGAAAAACTTACAGAAAGATGGACAACTTTTTTCGTGACACTTTCCAGATTTCTTTGGATACATGACTCCTCTTACTTTGTTACAAGGGATCCGTGTTTCCGATGGTGGGGTGGGCTGTTGTCCAAGGTTAATTTTTCGTACTTTAAAACGCTGAAAATTCAAGACGGGTGGGATAGGGTGGGGCATCGTGATGAGGTGAATCTTTAAACGTTTGTAAAGCTGTTTGATGGTATACTTTACACTCCTGGGAGGGAGGGAGGGAGGGAGGTAGGTAGGTAGGTAGGTAGTGGGATACATAAAGATGGTCATATTCAAGGGGGTAATTCTTCGGCAAGGATAGCACATTCAGGGGATGGTATCAAAACTTGATAATTGTAAAGGGTAGTGTCGAAAGTCAGTAATGATAATATTGTAAGACTTATGGTTCTTTGACTATGTTACAAGAAGTTGATCTACTCATTTCCATAATACATTGTATGACTTAACTCATATTGAGTTAAGTCTGATTATTTAATTTATTATGCCCCCGTATTGAAGATTCGGGGGTATATAGTTTTTGCCCTGTCCGTCCGTCTGTCAGTCTGTCTGTCTGTCTGTTTGTCTGCAAAAACTTTAACCTTGCCCATAAGTTTTGATTGGTTGGAGCTATGGCTTTCACGTTTCACATGTGTGTTCCTTGTGACAAGACCTTTCTTTGAGAACCACCATATTTGACCTTTTGACCTTGACCTTGGAGTTTGACCCAGTTTTGCAAAATTTTACCAAGCTCTAACCTTGGCCATAACTTTTGAACAATTGATGCTAAGGTTTTCATTCTTCACATGTGTAATCCTTGTGGCACGACCTTCCTTTGGATACCAACAATTTAGAACTTTTGACCTTGACCTAGGAGTTTGACCCACTTTTAAAAACTTTAACATTGGCGATAGCTTTTGAACGGTTGGTGCTAGGGCTTTCATACTTCACAATACCTTCCTTTGGATACCAGCAACTTTGACTCTTTGACCTTGGAGTTTGACCTACTTTTGGAAAACTTTAACCTTGGCGATAACTTTTGAACGGTTGGCGCTAGGGCTTTCATACTTCACATATGTAATCCTTGTGACAAGACCTTTCTTTGGATACCAAGAACTTTGACCCTTTGACCTTGACCTTGGAGTTTGACCTACTTTTGGAAAACTTTAATCTTGGCCATAACTTTTGAACAATTGGTGCTAAGGCTTTCATATTTCAGAAGTGTAATCCTTGTGACAAGTCCTTCCTTTGAATACTAACTACTTTGACCCTTTGACCTTGGAGTTTGACATACTTTTGAAAAAAAATAACCTTTTTCATATTTTATCAATGGTTGATGCTAGGGCTTTCACATTTCACAGGTTTATTCCTCGAGACAAGACCTTACTCTGGGTACCAACATATTTGATTTGCATTTGAGAAAGTTTAGCCTTTGCTACAAGTTGCCATACGGGGGCATCAGTGTTTCACAAACACATCTTGTTTTCTCCTATTTTTTGGCTAGCTTGTAGACAGAATGTATTGTGCGTTTCGTTATCTTCACACTTCTTCAGGGGAACTTACACTCAAATCTTTTAAACCACACGTAGAAAATAAAACTTACAGGTAACAACAAGTGTTATTATTATTTTATATGCCCCCGTTATTAAAGATTCGGGGGGCATATAGTTTTTGCTCTGTCCGTCCGTTTGTCTGTCTATCTGTTTGTCTGTTTGTCTGTTAGTTCGTAAAAACTTTAATCTTGCCCATAATTTTTGATTGGTTTGAGCTATAGCTTTCATATTTTACAGGTGTATTTCATGTGGAAAGACCTTTCCTTGGGTACAAATATTTTTGACATTTTTGACTTGATCTTGGAGTTAGACCTACTTTTGGAAAATTTTACCAAATTTTGACCTTAGCCATAACTTTTGAACGGTTAAAGCAAGTGATTTCATATTCGGTATGTACATTTGTTTTGACAAGACCTTGTCTTAGGTACCAACAGTATTGACATTTTGACCTTGACCTTATGAGCTTGACCTACTTTGAAAAACTTTAACCTAAACCATAACTACTGAATGGTTAGTGCTGGGGCTTAAGTATTTCACCGGTTTATTTCTTGTGGCAAGAACTTTCATTGAATTCCAACATTTTTGCACCTTTGACCTTGATGTCAGAAAAATTTCGTCAATAACTTTTGAATGGTTGATTCTATGGCTTTCATATTTCACCTCTGTATTTCTTGTGACAATGCCTTCCTTTGTGCACCATTAATTTTTATGACAACCTTCGCCATGAACTGCCATACGAGGGCATCTGTGTTTCACAAACACATTTTGTTTTATTTGAACATCAGCCCCTAAAAAAACTTTTTTCTCTTGATTGGACTGTAAGTACCAAAGTACTATTAAATATTTGGAAATATGTATCATAGTCCATACACCGCATAATAAAGAATGACTTGTCTTAACACACAAACCTACTGGTGTTTCATCCCGAAAAAAAAAATAATAAAGTGTCTATATAACTCTTCGATGACGGATCTTGTACATAAAAAAAGGGTAGAACTCTACTTTTCTCCTTTTAAATGATTATCTGTAGCAATAAGTAATATTGTTATTCAGAAAATGAGATTATTTGACTGTTACCTCATGACATATCCCCGATAAATAACTAAGGCCTGTTAAGCGCATGAAGCTGTCATCACTGGGTTTCTTGCCACGCGTAAACGATAAGCTATATAAATATATTAATGGTACAATTCAATTTGTGGAAAGAAATATGAAGTAAGTCTGACATCAAATATTAAGCTCTTTTTTTCTCCATAAAATTAAAATGGAACAAGAGCATCTACCCAAGCAATTATTGCTTAGTGGATTAATGGATTATATTTGCTCATTCATTCAAAATATTGCAGGCTGGCAAAAGATGGGGGGTAACTCTTTAGAAAAGCATAATCTTGGATATATGGTACTTCGGAACATGAACATCAGATGTACTTAACTACGTAACATGAATATCTTTAATACAGTGAAACCTGTCTAATCCGACATGCACTAGGAGGCAAGTTATGTGTCTGAATAGTTAAAAGGAAAAGGATTGCATCAGTGTCGGATTAAACAGTTTCTTCTGGAGTACGTTCTAGAGCAATTTTCATCCTAATTATACGTCCAGGCATATTCATGTGGCAGAGTTTGTAAATAAGAACGAAATATGTCTAATTTCCAATTTATTACAATACATATAACGTACAGGTTTTACTGGGTACATTCAGTATAAAAAATTAACAAAAGTTTATTGGTTCAGGAAGTAGTTCAACCACAAGACCCCTTCAAAACATAATCGCTTACAAGTTTTCTCACTTGATATAAAAATATTATTGCAAAAAAGGAATAAATGTAAACCCATGATGGACATAAATTTAAAATTGTCTCCTTTATCGCAAACATTTCGTCCGATTGATAGTTGGTCGTCAATTTGTTGTTTCTTTTCTTTGAATATTCATCTATAAAAAATGAAAATAAAAAGAATTGAATAATAATTTAGAAATATAAAGGCATACTTTTTATAACTCTTCTAAAAAATTCTGTTACCTTTTAAAACGTTTATGGGAATACCAAAGAGTAAATGCTGGATATTAAGATTTAATGATGTATACCTAGTGACGCTTGATCAACATCAGTGTCTCCCTAACGGATGTCCCACTTCTTACTGCAGGATACCAAGGATTGATCCAGTCTTCCGAGTACCACCGACCGTTAAGGAAGGCCGTATAACATTTGTTATACCACCAACCTCCACCGTCACTAGCAGCACAGTTACCTCCCCATGGGTCGTTATCTCTGTCTGGGGTGCTGAATGACATCCCTGACAGATCATGGTGAACAGGGCTACCAGTGTCAAACATACTGTCACCTATAAAGAAAATATACCACAGAGATTATTGATTGATATCACATTAATCTTATTGTCAATGATACTGAGGTAATCACAGACAGATCACGGCTTCTCATGTTATCTCCTGTAGAATTAGAGAAAATATATCACTAGTTAATTAATTCATATCACATTAATCTTATTGTCAATGATACTGAGGCACATCACAGACAGATGACGGCTTCTCATGCTGTCACCTGTAAAGGTAGATAATATTTAAAAAACACAATACAACAATATTCTGTGCAAATTATATAGCATCCTTTCTAATGTAACAATAAACCCCAGGTGTGTTACACTTCTAAAGGATGTTTTGAAAAAAAAAAATGGTAAAGGTTTCTGGAAATATTAGAAAAATGAATATATGAAAAAATTGATATCTGTTAGAGTTTATGCTTTTAAAATATATAAAATTCAATACGAAGCAAATCAAACAAAATGATAACAAGATAAGAAATGATTTACCTGTCAATGTTTTAAAATATTAGATTTTCATTTAATATAGTATAGATATTGTAAAAGTGAAATACACTGCGAAGTTTTGAATATGGCTATTTCTAATTTGACTATATTCCGGATCAAGTAATTTGAACATCAAATTTTCGTGAACATGTCGACATAACATATCAATTACCCTCTGTAAACTTCGTATTCAGTAGTAGTTAGAAATGTGAATTAAGAAACCTAAGCTAAATAACAATGGCGGATCAAAGGTAGTTACTGGATATACTAGTACAAATAATTTAATATAATTTTCTTTGTTTTTATAATAAATAATTTAAAATTTCAACTACTTAGCAATGACTAATTCAATGTCCGCGAAACTCTTAAATTGTACCTACAAATGATATAGTGAAAAAGTTTAATTAACGTAGAATCAAAGACGTTTACTGAATATGAGAGAAAATTGTATCTTTGTCTCTTTTTTACCAACTTTATAAACTTTCTATGAAAAGACGTATATGATGGTACACTTGATTTGAACCCAATTTTAAGAACTTAACTTGAATATACTTACCTAAGGTTCCCGTGGCAGGTCCGGCAAGAAAGAGTTTGTAATTCTCTGTTTCATTGGAGACAGAGAACCCATCGTACATTTCATACAGCGTTGTACCATTCGGGAGAGTGATGGAAACATAAAGGAATAACTTGCTTTCTTTTGTTAACTGATGGATTACGTCATTTCCTGCATTAAGATATATTTGAAATCAACTAAAAAGTCCACTGCAATGCAATTATTTCTTTTTTTGAATATGAATATACCTTCATGAAAAATCAAATTATTTTCCTAAGCTGTAAACAGTACTGCTAATTTTCGTTTCTTTAAGACCATGCCACTGAGTGATTTTTACCTGTTGCTTTCATTATTTTCTTATTATTTAAGATACCAATTAAACACGATAAGTGAGTATCGTTGAACACATATTACCTAGTCTTAAAATAAGATCTTTAACACGATTCCATTTTTTATCTGCCACAATAAAGAAATTTTCTCATACTATGAAGCGGATGATAGTTCCTATTTAAAAGAGATTTACACTTACCAATCCAGTAGTCCTGTTCCGGTGAACCAAAACCCTTTTTATATTCCGTCCAGGTTCTGTAAAAGCTCACTGATCCGTCTACGCGTTTCTGAATTGCCTTTAAAAAATTAATATGTATAACAATCCAATTAATTGTTTCGAACACTTGTGTGATCAATTCGTTAATGATATAAACTCAAAATATTCATATTTTTTCCATTCTATATTCTTTTGATCCATAAAACAACTGAGTGTGAATTATATTATGTAGTCAAGTTTTGAAATGAATCACAAACCGTCCATCCTCCGTCCATTGTCTCCATGTCGCAGTAAACTCTGACAGGACTGGTTATGGTCCGAAAGGGATAAATTTCGAACACCCCTGAATTAGTGTGACCATTATCACGAAGATCCGTACAGTCAACAGGATTAAGAGGAATAACTATAGCACAAAAAAGAAACAAAAATAATAAAAGAAATTTCATTCTTTCCCTTACTAGTATTTTTTAGTCAATTACAAACTACAATTTTCAAATGCTTAAGAATGAAACAGTGTCATTTAGATTAAAATGAATATCATTACTGTATTGTCACAGTGTATGCATTTGATCTTTTTTTTTTTTTTTTTTTTTTTTGCATTGGTTTTACTTATAAAATAGAAGTTTCATTTTTTTAACCAAGCTGATACTAACAGAGTAAAGATAGAGAAAATATTGGAATTACAAAATATGATTCCTGCAATTCAAATTCATCATTCATTCGAAATAAGAATGATAAGAAAAAAAAATCAGCAAAGAGCCTGAAATATTATTTAGAGTTAATAATGTTGAAAATACAATTGTTTTTCCCACATAAAACATTATTGTCTCCGGATAAAATAGTATCGTGCTTAGTAAATAATGATCAACATAATACAGTATTGTCCCAGGATAAAATAGTATTGTGCTTAGTGAATAATGATCAACCTCTTCTTCCCAAAAAGTTGTGCGATAAACACCAATGATGTTTTTGTTTTTGTGATTTGTGGCAAATTGGGAAACAAATAACAGTTATACATACAGTCATGAGAGTAGTATCTCCAGCCCCCTTCAGTAGACATCTCCGATGTGAAAACACTGTTGTGGGTACGGCACTTCTTAATGTAAGGGTTGAATCCAAAGAAGACGCACTTCATTTGACACATCGCGGCACACGCGGTCAATGAATGAGAATTATATTCTTTCAACAGTTCGTTATTTGATTTTTTATCATCAAGTTCACGTTTCGCGATGTATTTCTGTGAAATAATGGTAGATTGAGACACCGCAAAGAAGACAAAAATTAAATAGACTGCCCAAAGATCGCCCATATCGTAATTTGTATTTAAAGCTGGCTGCTGCGTACCTGTAAGAATTTGCAATCTGGTCTTTCAAACGCCAAATATAAATAACAAAAAATATATTAGTTTCAGAAAAGTGATTGGCTAACTGTTACGTACTCCGTATGTTACAATTGTTTAAGCATGCATCGATTTTGTTGAATCTGATATGAACTGTCATAAATGCTTACCTAGCGATTGCATTCCTAAATATCACAATGAAAAGTACGTTGTTATTATTACAGAGTTCATGTCTCTCAAGTCGTTGTTACAAGCTTTTTTTTTGATCAGCTGTTTTTAAATTATCGAACTTTTTTTTTATTTAGATCTCCTACTCGTAATGCAATTAAAATTCAGTGATTTCGGGAAATCAAATTCAAAGAGACAATTATCTGCTTCTCAGATTCAAGTGTTTAAACGTTTATCTATAAGTCTCCAAAGGTAAATTTAACACATGCTACACCATTATTGGTTTATATGCTTTCGAATTTCATTTTACGGACAACAATCCCGAGCACATCGACATGTATCTAAATTTTCGATCCCCTAACAAAATCTTAAAATGCTGGTCGGAGTTTGTCTTCATATCCTTACAGAGATACATTTCAGTAAATGTTCTACCAAGCCCTTTTTTTACTCCTCACTAAAATATTAACAGCAGTGAAGGAGAAACTTCGGGAGAACTGAAAATAATTTATTCGAGAAGAAGTCTAAATCAGATGCGGATACTTAAAAATTCCAAAGAACTCCTAGAAAATTTAAAATCACAAAATTTTACCAAAATCAATAACGTCAAAACATAGGCTTTTCAACACTTTATACAACCTTCTTCTCGATAAATTAAAGTCCAGGCTTTTTGAAATCATGGACTGCTGCTTTTTCAATATAAATGGAACTTGTAAATTTACTTACCTTGTCGTTGGTCATTTGCAAAATAATTTTGTTAAAAAACATTCTGATTGCTTGAATTTCTGATTGACAATATCTTTTTAGTTTTTTGGTGATAAAGTATTTCAACAGTTTGTCGGAATTCACATGGGTAGACTTAATTTTGTATTCATATGCAGCAGAATTCATTCAAAAACTTCTATATGAAAAGGAGAGGTATCTTCCTTGGGCGTATGATTCAACATTCAGATATATCTACGTCTTATCTATAAACAATATTCATTTTCATTCCCATGTTAATTCGAAGTATCCATTTGAACTCGATATGTAAGATACAACATAGTCCGACAGGTCTGTTCCGTATTTAGATATTTTACTTGAAAAAGACGTTATTGGTAACTAAACAACAAAACTTCATGCTAAAAATGATGACTTTAATTTTTCAGTCGTCAACTTCCCTTATTTATGTAACAAAATACAAATTTATATACCCAATTGTATTAAATATTTAAATGATACATGTATTTAGACTAAGAAACACAAGCACGCAATAAATATCACTTACGTTTTAGGTGTATAGAATTAGATGCTCCTTAGGAATGTATCCATTATCAGTGTTAAAGATATTTAGAGGGGAAACACAAATATCTATATGCAGTCGAAATTCCTTACCTCAAACTTGATGCAATAAAAAAACTTCGAGGTATTCGAAGATTCGAGATATTCGTGGTAAAATACCATAATAATAAGTGCTTGGTACTCCAAACAACTTCGTCATATCAATGGTTTTCGAGATATCCGTGTTCGGGATACTAAAGTTTAGCTTCCCTTGTACAATTTCCTTGTACAATTCGTTTTTAGAGAGGCATAATATTTCTATGTTTTCGCTTATGTCTTAATAATGTGTTAATCCTGCCAAAGATTTTATATAGAGTTTAATTTTCGGTAATTAATGGAAGCAAACGTTCGGCTACAATGTTGCTTATGTGATATCATTTATGAAGATCCTGTTATGAGATAACAAGAAAATGTCAAGTTAAATTGGTTGTACATGATATATTGCATTCAGGTTTTTTGTTTTTTTTTACCAATAACATTTTAGATTTTTTTGTTTTTCAATGCCAAGATGAAGCATGATGTATAAATAAGAAAAAAAAAGCAAATGACGCTGTAAAAGTAATTCTTTTTTATGTAACGTAAACAAACAGTCACAGGAAACTCTCCTTTTTGAATGACTTAATGCACTTTACATGAATTTCAGTTCACATAGTTAAATGATCTTTATCCCCTGAACATACCTAGTATGCATTTTTTGACTTGTCTTACGCATGAGAATGAGGTGACAAAAGCGTCTTTAAAAGGATGAACATTTGCCTATATCGATAGAATGGAGTTATAATTTTTTATCTCTAAAGTCAAGCGCATAAAATGTCCAAAACATCGATAGACATAAAAAGATGAGCATTTGCCTATATCGATACACTAAAGGTATAATTTTGTATCTCTAAAGTTAAGCGCCTATGACGTCCCAAACAACGATAGACATATCTTCATTAAATTATACTAGGCTTAATTCCTCAGCATAATTAATTACATGATAGTTGAATAAAATATATTTGCTGATATCCTTTGAAATACCTGTATTGTTTTAATGGCTTTTGAGCTTGTCAACTGTTCCTTATTGTCATCTTTTATATAATACAGTAAAACACAATTATAGCAAACATGTTTATAATGAATTCACGCTTACAGCGAAGTAGTTTCCAATCCCCATGATTGTGAAACATTTTTCGAACTGAACGGATCTAAGAAGTTACATGTGTTCGTTTATAATGAATTAAAATTGTTGGTTCCTGGCACTTCGCTATAAGCATGTTTTATTTATCAACAAAACAAACCCTAATAAAAACCAGCGCACCCCGGATGCATCAAAGTCAAACGCGTATATTGAACCCAATTTCAGAAGTGGGCCAGAAAATGAACGCCGGGTTCTCTATTACATAACAGAGGTCTTAAACAGGATAAGCGAGAAAAAGCATTGACCAATCAGCTCGTCGACTAATCAGCATGTCAGTTTGCCTCTCCGTGTAGATAAAAAAGAAATGAATTACAAACAATATGTGTTTAAATACAATTACAAGTTACATGTAATTTTTTAAAATTATTTATATGATATTGATGAGCAATTATTCTGCTGGTTACATTTAATATTTAGATGTTTATTTTCCTTAATTACACTTTATAATTAATTAATTGATATACAGCTGTGCACATATATTGCATAATTTTATTTTTAGACAAGATATCTAAAAAACAAGAAAACAAAACGTATATTCACTGAAAAGATATTTACCAAAATCATCTGCTTTTTTTCTGATAACATTTTTTTTTTTACAAAACAGTATTGTATTCCTTCAATTATTCATCGATTATTTTCTTCCATATTTCCAATTTACGTTTAATAAATATCAATATTGCTCTGCGTATATTAAATATAGAATTGCTTAAAACGCAATCTTTAGATGCACTTAAATCTGAAAATAAATAAATAAAAACAAATACATAAATAACTAGATGGTTCTCGTTGCGAGCAACGAGTGGGTCTTTCGTCTGATTTTGGATGAGATTAATCAAGATCTTGACTGAGATATTTGTCTATAAAAGTGAAAGGATGCATATTGTTTTAAACATTATTATGATCATCTTTTGTTCAATATTGCTTATCAAAATATTTTCCCCTTTTCGAGATATAAAGTGTCAAAGATTTAGCATTCTGGCCAATTAAGGTCGCTTATTACGCAACATATGATCAAAACTTTACAATATATAGTTGCAAAATATTAATATGAACATTTTTGCTTCAGTAATTTATAGCAAAATATTGATCATAAAAAAGTTATAGATAAAAGACTTTTGGCCCTTCTGAGCCCCTAATTTGAGGGTCGGCCCCTTTTTCTTCATATCAAATAAAACGTCTTGTAATTTTGAAGACTTTTTGTTCAACAACTATTCAGAAATTTCCTTTCGTTTAAGAGATATATAGAATAACAATATTTAGGGGCCAGCCCTCCAAGTCCTTAATGG